CACAAGATAAGCTCCATCAAGTTTTCCACCTGGTTATCTGTGTTCTTTATATTTGAAAAGCAAAGCAGAAGTCCTGTCTACTTTGCAACAATTTGGTCGTGATAACAATAAAGTTCTTTTCTACTCATTTCCAGCATGTACTTTTCATGATCCATAGCTGAAACACAAGAGAATGACTGGTGTTTAAATCCTTTTAAATGGATATGACAGCATTATCCTTTCCCTTAATTGGAAACAGGTCATTCTAATGTGTGGCTAGGACAGAAGAGGATACAATTTTACTTTGGCTGAGCTTTCACTTTTGGAAAAATCACAAGACAATAATGCTCTTATGAATGAAATTTCTGAAAACAAGCTTATAAATGGGAGGCAAATCTGTCACCAAAGATGGTGCTGACAATTCAAAACAAAGACAAAAGTGGCAACTATCCTGTTAATAAACGATCAAGCTACATTAGCCACTTTCATCTGTTCTACACTCAGCCCATTCAGGCTCCTGTAGAGTTACTTACTGACCACCGTGTCATCCAAGCTTTTCCACAGAATGAAACAAAGATAAAGCAGGGATGCAGGCAGCAGGAGCTCTTTCTTGCCACTGGGACACCCATCAGTGGTAAAACAAAACTTCTGTTTGAACCATGTTAGGGAATTTATACAAAGCCCATTATTTCAAGTAAGTAATTAGTTTAGCTTCCCTCTTCCCCTGGATATTACGTTAGCTGGCTCCCTGTTGCTTGTGTGAACCTTTCAACGCTGTAGAGGAGGAAAGGAAAAATTCTTTTTAGCAGCAGGAAAATGTGATTATAAAACAGTTCTACTCGGTAGGGGATATCAGGAGGGAATGTGAAAAAAAAAAAAAAAATAAACAGGAACTTTGTAGATCTCAAGTTGCCTGTTTCCTTCATGAATAATTTTCATTTGTACTAAATGTTTACATCTTGGAAACTGTTGTTTTTTTTTTGTTGTTGTTTTCTTTTTGTTTGTTTTTAAATTAGAAAATACATTCAAATTTCTGTCTGAGCATAAGTAACAAGTACAGAACCATAAACATATATATTCCCACTAATATCTGCAGTCAGAGTTACATTACTGTGATCTTTAGAAGGTAGATGGTAGGTAACATTGATGCTCTGAGCATCTTCGCTCAAAAACCTCAGGAGGATTTGGACTAGTAGCCAGCACCAGGAACTGTTTGTAAATAGATTTCTGCTTTAATCTAAGCATTTTTGCATACTGGTGCACACACTGAACAACGCAAAACAGCTCTATTTTAAAAACTATTCTCATAGTCATCATGGTCAAACTAAATGAAAACTCACTCTTCTCGGCATTAATACCTACAAAAGATTCCTCAAGAAAGGACCTTTATGTATGCTTATATAGTGGGAAAGAAACTTCTGAGACAATCCTTGTATTAACCTCCATGGACCTTTTTTTACACTCTTGTTCATGAACAGTCATCAGTAAATCCTGCAAAAAAAAGCTGTTGACTGCAACAAACTTAAAATTCCAACAAAAGACTTTACACAAACTGAAACTTTTCCATGTCTAAGTTCAGGCACCCTAAAGCAACACACTAGTGATACTTGTAAAAGTCATGATTACAAAAGTTAAAATATGTTTTTGCATATCAGTTTCATTCTAAATACTAGTTTCATGCTAAATACTACTGACTGATTTACAATTGGTGCTGTCCTACAGAGAGTTGTTGCTGCATCTTTGTATTGGCTGTCACATGAATTTGTTGTCTGCCACAGTAGCAGCTGCAAGTCCAAACCCAAAATCATGGACTTCATCTCAGGACTGAAGAACCACATGCTGGAAAAAGACAGTTCTTCTCCCATTCCTCCCCAGTCCTTCTCTCACAAAATAGGAGAAATTTTCACCTATGATATTTTGTTTTTATCTTGTTTGGCAGAGAAAGAAAATTAGTCATGAAGAAAACAAAGTAGTGATGAAAAAGAAATATAAAATATGCATCACCTTGCAACCTTACTATTTTAAAAAGATTACCTGCTTGTGCAAGCATAATGAAAGATGCCTGTATCTTAACATAGGAATCACAATCAGCAAGCTAACAGCCCTATAAAAACTACAGTTTTCAGAGACGTCACTCACTGTTAACAGAAATTGTTGCAGGTTAGCATCTCTGGAAATCAGAACCGTTACACAGAGGCATCTAATTATGCCTTGGGGTCCTATGTTTAGTGGCCCCAATTAGTAAGACATTTCCTCAAATTCATTTATTTCTGTTCAAACAAATATCACAGAAAGAAAACCCAGAACCATGATAGAGACACAGTTTACAGATGTTAGTCAGGAGTTTCTTCTCTGTTCTTGTTTTTCTTGTTGTTGTTTGTTTGTTTTGTAGTTGTTGTTGGGTTTTTTTTTTTCTTTTTGTTTTGTTTTTTCCCAATGCTATGGTAGCCTTTGCATGTAGGACAAAAGTTCTTACCTAGCACAGAGCTCAGCTCCTCTGCCACTCCTGTTCATGTAAATAAGTCAAGTTAACAATGATGAAAATGTCATTACATGCTAAATAAATAAACAAGTAAATAAATATTGCAAGCTATTTCTTAAAGAAACCCAGATAAATGGAAAGATAAACACCATGAGAAACCACACTTATATACCCACACACAGTGACCTTTTTCCTGATTTTCTCGAATAATTTTTAAGAATTTACTCTTCGTATAAAGAGTTGGGTAACCTTGGATATTCCTGCTGAACTGAGTTTTATTCACTTGGCTTCAATTTCTTCATAAACTAAAATAGTATCACCTAACTAAGAGCTTTACAGCGATGTTACAGTTTGCAGTTATATTAAAAAAGGAGGTAACGTATAAAAGCTGGATTTATTTTAATAATCAAGAATGAAATGATTCTTTAGAAGATTGAAAATTAAAATCCTCCTGCACTGAGTTTTCTTACACAGGCTCACTTATTAAAGAAAAATTCATATCATGGTTAATATGTGTTAGTATACCAGCATGATAGAAAAATAACTGAAAGATGTCAAAGAGATTTTTATACAGGGGAGAAAGATTTTCTGAAAAGAGGAAAAGAAAAAAATTATCTTAAGAATTGATTATAGCCTCCAAAACCAGAGGGTGGCTATTCCTTGCCAGTACAGTAATACCAGCCTCTTCCTACATGCTGCAATGTGAAATACTATATAGGAAAGTGCTTTAGACATGTACATCCATATTCGAGAGACCAAGCAGACTGAGGCAATACATTTCTTCAATACAAAATCCCAGTTTTGCTATGAAGCTCAGCATCAGTCTTACTGACTCTCAGATTAACCACAACAACAAGGCTCAATGTGTATCAATCCTTCATCTGCACAATGCTGTTTTTGAAACAGGACAATAAACTTTTTTTCTAAATCACATTTTCCTTTCCATTTGAATAAGCATGTGCAGAAACAGCTTATCCTGTAATCTGTGGCAAATAACACTTTTAATTAGTTCAAAGAAATAGAAGAAAAACAGCAATAGATGTAGCATCTTTGTATTTGCTCATCAGAGAACTGTGAGAACTCTAGAAGAATTGACTTGTAATCAGTTTTATCTTATTCCAAAACTACCTCGGTATCATCGTTCATAAGATACAACAGGTCTGCCTTAAGGAGGTAATGAATAGGTGAGGATTTTGTGAAATAGTGGTGATACAGACATAGAAAGGACACCAACAGGTGTTCAAACTTGTCAGTAAGTCAAGACAGGTCCTAAGACCAGCCGTGACCATTGTCCCTTTGGAGCAATGATAACTGTATCACTGAATTCATGAAGTACTGAAACAATTCCAAGATTCCTCACTTGATACATTTATGGCACATACCCACATATCCAGAATCTTTCAACTGGAAATTAAATCTGAAAACAGAGCAGGGCAACTCTTAAAAGGGATATTTAATTGCTAATAAGTGTGTCTCAAGACAGGAGAAGCAGAAGACACAACAAAGAAACAAACTGATTTTATCACAGGACAGCCTGCATTGGAGTGCCAACAGCCCGCATCTCACCCCCAAGCTGAGCCGGGCTCAGATCCGGATGAGAGGAGAGGATATTTGGTAGGGGCAATCAGAAGACACAGCAGCTTTTAAAAGAAGCATGAGCTGAGTCAAAAACACTCCGAATTATCTGATTTTAAAGAAACCTCATTGCAACAAAAATGGTTATAAAATATAGCTGCCTAAATACAGATTAAAGAGGCAAGAAACAGTCCTTTTATCTGCTATAATTAAGACATCATTCTCTCTCATTTTACATGTTGCTCCCCAAGTACTTGGGATATCTGCTAATAAATGTGAAAATACATTCTGAAGCAAAGCAGGCTTACTAAATTCACTTCAAAAATAAATGCCAGCAACATAGTTACATAGTAGTTACATGTTGTTTGTAAACCCAAATCACAAAGAAAAGTATACGTACGAATGAAGTTGAGAACTGCAGAGCAGGAGAAGAGAGTTCCACACACAGCAGCGTCCAGCACCCCTCTCTGGGCACTGTGAGCTTCAGTGAAGAGTCGGTCTAAGTAGTACCCCCCTGACCTTGCTATCTGTCATAGCAAATAACAGACGTACTTGCACAGATGGTAATTAGGTTGGCCATTGGCTCTGAGTGTGTTCCTCCAGAGGACACCGCGTTAGGGAGGTGCTTCGTTAGGCACTTATATTTACAAACAAAACCCGATTGGTACCATCGGTGGAAACAAGCTCTCCCTGCCTACATCACCTTTTGCGATGCTGATTCCCACGCACTGTCCTAGACCAGTGCTCCAGCTCGCAGTGGGACGAGTGTGAAACAATCAGACGAAAAGATCAGCACGGCAGCCAAAACCACCGGTTTGGGTTTTGATAACGCACAGGGTGCCCGCGTGGCTCCCCGCAGCCAAGCGCATCGCTGGCAGCACGCCTGGGCTCACGGCAGCGCCGGACCCCGCGCCCCACGCGGGCTCGGAGGCGACACGGGCACCGACCCCCGGCTGGTTCTTACCTTGTTGGAGGCCATTTCGCTGACGGAGTGCCTAGTCTGCAGGGTCTCCAGTTGGTCCAGGCACCAGTCCAGCTCCTCCAGGGTCTCGCTGGCCAGCTTTTGGTAGGCTTCCTCTGCGAAGAGACAGGGAAAGGCATACTGAGTCCTCAAGCGTTTTACGGGGCTAACAGCGAGCTCTAACGCGCCCATCCTGCCGCGGCCAACCGCGCCGCGCTGCCCGGTGCCCGCACATGAGTGCTGCGGCTTCATACTGCCAGTCCGGACAGCCGAGCTCCGTACGGCTCCCCGGCTCCGCGGCCACCGGCGCGGCGAGCGGCGGCCGGGACCGGGCACAAACTTTCCGCTGCCCGGGCCGGCCGCCCGCCCAACCGGGCCCGGCTCCGCCTCGCCCCGCGGCTGCCCGGGGCGCCGCCTCCTGGCAGGAGCGCCGGGCCCCGGTCCCAGGCACGGCCCGCGGACGGGGAAGCGCGAGCGGGCTGAATCACCGCTTCCTGCATCGGTCACCCCGCAGCACGGTGCGGACGGACCCCTGCAGGCGGTCCGTGCCGCCGATAGGGAGAGGCGGTGATGTCTGTCACCTGGGCTGGGGATGCCGCGGACTGATCAAGTGGTCAACTTGGAGAGAGCGTGAGGGAGGAAGTGTGGAAACCAGCGTGACCACTCTGCTCTGCCCAGCAGCGAGATGCCGAAGGGTCCTTAAATACTGCGGGAGGGTGTGCTCCTGCCCAGTAGCCTGTCTGCATGCGTGTCCTTGTGCAATGTGGGCTGTAAGTCTGGTGAAAGTTTTGGAAACGGACCCGGCAACGGTACGGAGGTCTAATCACAACCGTATTTCACACTGCAGCTAACTTCTTAAAACTCACAGATGTTGCACAAAGGGGAAGACGCTGCCTCCCTCAGCAGCAGACCTGTAGGTATGCAGCTCCTAACAATCCCCAACTACAATGCAACCTACACACCTGCACAGCACAGCTGCTTGCTTCCTATGATGCAGCTGCAGAAGATGCTCCTCTACACCGAGCAGACAGCTGAGCACATTTCAGACCAGGCACACTGCCGTGTTCTGTGTCTGAAACATCCAGTTCTGAAACTCCTGGCATGCATGCTGCTGCATCAGCTACATGCAAACGTACCTCCAAGGCAAGGCAGAGAAATGTTTGTCCAGTGGGCTGATTATTCCCACCTAAAATAACGATGTTTCACACCAAATTTACTTACCCCCCCCCCCCCCCCCCCCACACACACACCCCATACCCCTCTCCAGATGTAAAACAAATCAGGCAAGCAAATTAACTAAAACTCCTTTTAAAATAATACATTCCAGCATGGATTAGTTCCCAATAGATGAGTGCATTACTTTTCAACATCTAGGATACCAGATTTATATCCTTTTATATTGTACTGCTCACACTCCAGACCTTCGGGTTCCTTCAAAGCTGCTGAACTTTGCATTGCTGTGGGACAGTTCAAAAACACCTCAGAATTTTGAATAATGTCTGTTCCCGTTTGGCAAAAGGATAAGTCTGGGTTGACATTACCTGGCAGAAACATTTAAGGGAAATGCTGCAGTGCTAGCCCACCCCATGGTTAATCTGTCACCTCAACAAACAGGACTCTGATATGCACCAAATCCCCTTCCCACTGAATTGAGGATACTTTATTTTAAACGTGTCACGCTTACTATAATTGCTATATCTGATCTTAAAAAATTGCATGGCACATAAAGTCAGGATTTCCCAGAACGTTTATCTATCAAAAAGGAATGTGTGAGTGCCGGCAGTGCAGCAGGCACCACAGCTCACAGGCTTTATACATTATTTTTAAAGAGTGGCAACTGCAGCTTGTTCTTGAAGTTGGGTGGCATTGACCTCGCAGTGCAGATTTCATCAAGATCCATACTGGAAATAGAAATCACTTTGTTTACAGTATGCTTGTAAGTGTGTTGGTTAAATGCTTTTGATGAAGCAGAGAGCAAGTTAACATATGCATAGTTATCTGATGACCTTATGCAATGATTTCATTGAGAATAACACAAATAATAAAGTGAGGTAAAATGAATCTGTGCAAAGCTATTTTGCTGCTAGCCTGTGACCTGACCTTCAGCAGTTCTTGAAAATCAGATATTGGGAAACTCATGTTTTTCTTCACAAGTAAATATCATCTTTTCTTAAGACTGTAAGAGAGAGATTTTTCCAAGGAATATGAAAGCAACAGAATGAACTCGAAGGATAGAATATGAAAGCAACAGAATGAACTCGAAGGATAGAATATGAAAGCAACAGAATGAACTCGAAGGATACCACAGTTAGGTAAAAGTAATAAAATGCACAGTTATTTATTTTCAAGCTTAAACTTCTTGTTAGCCACAAGAAGTAGCACCAACATATATTTACAACAGCACTTTGCATTTAGGAATCTTTGCATGGTGCCCTCCTTCCCAATACATCCAGAATCTGGCCACCCTTTTGGGCCAGAATGCATTGCCCACAAGGCAGTCCTGTCACCAAAAGACTTTCTCACAGCCTCCTGAGATGATTACCATATTCACAAGTGTGAAAGGAACTCTAAACAATGATGGAAGTCCTCATCAAACAAGAACTCCCCTGTGCTCCAGCAGTTCTGAAGAGCAGAACCTAAGGAAAGATTTCCTAAACAGTCCTGAAGCTCTAATCAACGCCCATGCTGTTGTTACATACCATGGTGGAAAATGTTGTCTAGGTTAACAGCTTTTCAAGTGTAACACCTCATCACCACTACTCTAAAAATAATTAAAAAGTCATCACCCATGCACACTTGACAGCCTCAAAACATTGTTTCTGACCTCTCTGTTACCTCTAGGGAAGCACCCTGAACTCACTTCCAGGCAGGACCAATAAACTAATGAGTTTTTTTGGCACATGACCAAGCATCAACTTTAGCAAATGACAATTTTCAGATATTTCAAAAGTTCTAATTGTAATTAATTGAGCCTTAATAAGACTGGGGAGAAATACATTTTAACAGCACTTACTTAAAAATTTGCATGCTGCTTCTTGTATGCTTTTAGAAAAAAGGAAGTGGGAGCAAATGTTCTCTTTACAGTTCACAGATTAATTCAAACAATCCCACCACATGTAACTTTCAATATCATACACAGCTAAAAAAAAATAAAAAGTCTAGAATCTAGCAAAAAGAAGATCAGCAATAAGCATGTCATGCTGTACATCTTTTTTAAAAAGGATGTTCCACTGTCTGTTTTTGTAGAAGATTCTTGATTCTTAGCATAGCTCCTAGCAGAACACCAGAAATAGCTCTGCTTTTGTTGATGCTCTTCTTCAGGAACTAATTCTGGGAAAATTACTGCATTGAACATATTAGGAATGATGTCCTCTTTATTAAATATTTCATTGTGGTTTCCATATACAGCATACTTATATTCCTAGAGAACAAAAAGCAATGCTGCATTTTTCTACGAATTCAAGTGCACTTATATTAACCTTCTCAGTACTTCAAGTAATTTCAGTACAGCACTAGGAAAACAGAAGTACAGATTCTTCTTTGCAGTCTGATCAGTTGGGATTGAGTGATACAAAGAGGCTGGAAATGAATTGGCTCAGCAAGCGGGTCTGTATGAACTTCACGAAGTTCAACAAGGCCAAGTACAAGGTTGGGGCAATTCCATGGACAAATACATGCGTGGGCAAAGAATGGATTGAGAGTGGCTCTGTGCAGAAGTACTTTGGGGTGATGATTGGTGAGAGACTCCACATGAGCCAGCAGTGCATGCTTGCAGCCCAGAAGATCAACTGCATCCTGGGCTGCATCAACAGAAAAGTGGCCAGCAGGGTGAAAGGAGCAACTGTCCCCCTCTGCTTTGCCCTCATGAAACCTCATCTGTAGTACTACAGTCAGAACAGGGTCCTCCAGTGCAAGAAAGACATGGACTTGCTGTAGCAGGTCTAGAGGAGGGCATGAAGGTAATCTGCTGCTGGAGCAGCTCTCCTATGAAAAAATGGGGAAATGGTTTTTAAGTTGAGGAAGGGAAGATTTAGGTTGGATGTCAGGGAGAAGTTTTTTACAGAGAAAGTGCTGGAACAGGCTGCCCAGAGAATTGTGGATGCCCCATCCCTAGAAGTGTTCAAGGCCAGATTGGATGGGGCCCTGGGCAGCCTGGTCTAGTACAAAATGTGGAGGTTGGTGGCCCTGCTGTGGCGGGGGGGTTGGAGATTCATGATCCTTGTGGTCCCTTCCCACACTGGCCATTCTGTGATTCTGTGCAGCCAAACAGTGGCATGCTCCAGAAGGGCTCAGCACGTGTATTGTCTTTTGAAGACGCTGGCAGAAACTCTGAAAACCTCCAGACTATTCTAAATAATGACAAGCTGAAGATCTTCCATTAGACTCAGGCCCTCAACATCTTACCCGAATTTGCTGACCATCTTCCTGATCTTCTGCAAAATGTAAGATTGAGATTTGGAACAAGAGAATTACTGGACCAGGGATTTTAGTTTCTCTTATCACTACATCATTTAAAGAGAAAAAAAAAACAAAAATCTCTGGTTTGAAGAAAGAATTTTTCTGTAAATGAGGATGTTAGTAGCCTTAACTGATGGCCTATATATTGAAGTGTCTTTGACGTTTTAGTCAACATTGGTTCCCGCTATTATACATAGCCCTATTAACACTGACTCAGCATAGAAATTACACCTGTTTTCATAGACACCCATTTCAGAACTGAATTAAAACAAACAAACAAACAGAAGTTGTATTTCGGTATTACTGAGAAATTCTTTCTGTGACTCAAGGGCTTTCTTTGTGGAGTATTCACATACAGTCATGTTGTTGACCAAATGAGTTTATGAAGGATATTTTTGTTTAGCAACAAGAAATCTGAATGTATCCCCTCACAATCACAAGTAAGACAGAATACTCTTGATCAGATTTTGGAATGAGCATCTGGGCAGACAACTCAGCTGCAGCAGATTTATCAGAAGCTTTTTTGATGTTTCCACTCTGAACACTCACTTTCTTCCATGCCAGGAATGTCTCCAAGTTTCCATTCTAGTGAAGAAAAATCCTTTGTACCGGTTAGTAGCCTTACTCACAGACAGATTGTGCCTTGAGGACGAGGACT